CACATTGGCCCTTTTGGTCACAATTCTACAAGGTCAAAAATATCCTACAAGGCCCCTAAAGTCACCTTCCTGAGCCAAAAATGAGTTTTTATTAGCATAAATGGTAAAATTCTGGAGAGATCTATTGAGTCAAGTCAAAGCTTGGAGAAGAGAGGGCAGAATGAAGTTTCAGCTTTGCTAATACAACACTAAAATGTGATTCCCAAAGTTAATCAATTTTACCACTGTTCCTAGTCAGGGGCGATGAGCTCGAGTTCCCCCCCAAGCATTCACTGATTGGATTGAAAAGATAAAACCCAACCTTTGCAGAAGTCCATGTAGACAGCTTGTACTAAGTGAGTTCCACATCACTTTGCGATTGATCTGTGATTCCTTTCTCCCTTTTCTCTCCTGACCCTCCCTGCTGTGTACCCCAGAGGCATCCTGAATGGATGATGTGGGTGCAGTAGGTGTGTGACGGAATGGGGACCCCTCAGAGGGGGAAAATGCCCCCGTGACTCCAACAGCAGGGCGAGTGTCTCCCAGTGCTGTCTGTGAGTGCTGAGACAGAGCCGTCCGTGTTTGTGGCAGGGAGGCTGGACACCCCACTGCGTGAGCGGTCGGCTGCGGGTGTCCTTGGGCAAGGCAGGGGGAATTCCCTGCCTCCCCTCCGAGGCCTGGGACTCATTGGCACAGACAGCTTGATTCTTTGAAGGGCCTCTGAGCGTTTTACAGCTTGCCTGCCTGGTGCTGTGGCTAGTGGGGAAGACATCTCAATAACGTGTCCTTTCTTCCACAGGGAGACTTTCCCACATCAGCCTTCCTGCGGGGTCCCCAGGGCTGAGCCGTAGTGCCAGGACTTTCTGGATGTGTGTTCATCTCATTGTCAGTACTGGTGTCTTTAATCTGATTCAGGTGTCTGCCTGTGCCACACACTCACCACTGTGCCCCTCTGCCCGGGGCCCCTGCCCCCCTCCCGAGGCGTGGCCGTGATCTGTGTGCGTGCGTCTCACACCGCCTCTGACACCATAGACTGCAGTGTCGTTGCCACATGTGTGTGGAGTCGGAACCGTGTGCCGTGTGAAGCGTGTACCGCAGACACTCACCTCCTCAAGTGCTGTCCACGACCCATGTCCTTTGGGCAATGCCCTACTCATACACCATATCGTTAGGGTGTCATTTCCTAAATATAAAACAGCTTTTTTCTGACACAGTCTCCAGATGCCCAATATATTCTTAGGTCTCTTTGTTGGGTGGCCCGTGTAAACATCGCTGAGGCAGCTCTGCTCTTTGTGCAGTGACACGAGCTGTCTGTACAGAGTGCCTACAACTGCCAAACTCACATTCTTTAACCAGGAAAATAATAAAATAGTTTGACAGAACCTTAGAGATTTCCAGTCTAACCTTTGAACACTCTGGAAGGGCACAGTCCGATAGAGTAGCTGTGAGCTCACACGGAGCTACTCAGCACTTGACATTGACATGGTCATAAGTGGCTCGCATTACAGTTCTGTGGGACTGCACTAGTCCAAAGCATTGCTGACAGATGGCCACCCACTACATTTTGGATGATTTTAATCATAAGAAAACTCTCTTAGCTAATAAAATCATTGTCTTAAGGCTGGAGAGGATACATTGGACATCAGAAATTGGTCTTCCCTTAGAATACTGGTTTCTACCTAATTGATAAATAAAAGGCTTCTTCGAATTAAAAGAATAAACCCATCACTACCACCTCTCAGAAAATCAGCTTCGCATAGCTAAAAGTATTACAACTGACAGTGTTTGTTTCCTGAAGCTATAATTAGTCTGAAGCTTTGCTTAGTGATAAAAAGGATAACATTTGACCAGAAAAGGTGACCTTCATTCACCTCTCAATCCCAGTTAGAGCTTTCTGTTTGGGACATCTGGTATACCACATATGTGCACACATAAACACATACATGCACATATATAACTGAGACCTTAAAGGTGCAAGTCTCTCTTCGGAAAGCCATTCTTGAGGAGGCCGAATCATCCCACTGGAGGTGAGAAGCAATGAGATGGAACCAAGTCCCACAAGCTTGGCTGTGTGTTTATTTCCAGGAGCCAGAGGTTAGTGAATTAAAAAGCGTGCAGCCCTCTAACCATGGCATCTACCTTCCTCCGGACACCCAGGAGCATGCGGGATCCGGGAGGGCGTCCTCTATGCCACGTCTGACCATGGATCCCCAGGTAAAAAGCCAACACCACCTACCTTACGCAGTGGCATCCTGGGCTGTAGTAGGTGGGTTGTGAGATGATAAAATCTGATATTTTAAGGTGAGCGTTGGCTTGTCCCACGCCTTCCCCATTAGCAAAATCTGGCTCGGGGGCCTGCTGCTCCTGGTGTTTGCAATGACCCCTAACCACACTAGCCCAGCCGGCCGAATGGCAGAACTCCCTCTGGATGGGTCAAACATTCTCAAGACTCAACCAGCCACACAAGAAATATCTTCCAGAACGTTCTCTGTGTATCATTCCATCCTTTTTGCCTTCCCTGGCTCTTCCAGCACATGCGCAGTTACTTACACACACAGCTCTGTGTCAGGACTGTCCTAACCAGTGCAGGCCACGCCTCATTTCTTTGTCTGTTTTCCTGGCTTCTTTTTCCTGTCTGTCTGTCTTACATCAGGATTTGACAAAGACGAGAAGTTTTTGTGAATTTGTTCTAACGTCTGTGGCAGATCACAGTGCCGGAGTTCAGGGTGGGGCGTTCTTCCCAGTTGTTACATCTCGAGCTCTCCCGGGCTCTCGTGCTGCAGGCTAGGGCCTTCTCTAGCGAGGTCGTGAAAGAAAGGGCAAAGCCCTGCTGCTTTGCATGGTGTAGCCTTTTGGACAGTTGCTGTCGCGTGTCTCAGAGCGGCTCAGCATCTGCGGCAGGCCCGGCTGAGCCCGCGCCACTCGGCTCCAGGAAGCTCGCGCAGTGCCTGCCTGTATCTGCTTGGCTCTGCCCTGCACATTCAGCGGTTGCTTTTTTGAGCACAGAGAAGATCCTGGACCAGTTTCAGTGACTGTGTCCACCTAATAGAAGGACACTTTCTGGATCAGCCTCCTCCAGCTGAGGTCTGAGCAAGAGGAATGCAAGGGAGGTCACAATTCAGTCCTCAAGGGTCTGTGCCACTTCTCCTGCGCTTTCAGACCCCGTCAGTAATTAATCCAGACTTGTGTTTCTCTGGGGGCTCCTATTTCCAGGTGATGACCGACCCGAGCTCCATGAGGCGTTCGTTTTCCACCATTCGGGATAAGCGTTCAAACTCCTCGTGGCTGGAGGAGTTCTCCATGGAGCGGAGCAGCGAAAACACGTACAAGTCGCGCCGCCGGAGTTACCACTCCTCCCTGCGGCTGTCGGCCCATCGCCTGAACTCCGACTCCGGTGAGCAGCTCTTCTGTGTCCCGCGCTTGCAGCCGGCTCCTGCCCTGATGGATGTGTTCTGGCAAGGACTACAGATGACTGAGAAAAAAAAAAAAAGAGATAATAATTTGGGTAAAGACAAGGGTTGAGGAAAGTGAAGGGTGCTTCTTATCTAAGGGGGCTGCTGTACTGACTTATATCCTGAAACAGCCCAAAGCCCTCTGTGTTCATCACAAAGGCTGATGCAATTCCTTCCTTCCAGAGTGATGGAGGGAAGTTTGCACACGCCTTCTGCAAAACCACTGGGCTCCTTAGGGGTGTGTTAGAGACCTCCTGGCGGGGCTGAGCTTTAACCACCAGCTCCTCTTTAACCCCAACAAAAGCGCTACCTGGAATTGCTTTCTGTATTTGAGTTTCATTTAAGATTTTTATTTTTATTCTTTTAGACAGGGTTTTTTCCTATCTCCCAGGCTAGAGTGCAGTGATGTCATCATAGGTCACTGCATCCTTAACCTCCACCTCCTGGGCTTAAGCAAGCCTCCTGCGTTAGCCTCCCAGGTAACTTGGGACTACAAACGCATGCCACCACATCAGGCTCTTGCTCAGGCTGGTCTCAAACTCTGGGCCTCAAGCAATCTTCCTACCTCGAGCCACCATGCCCAGCCAAGATTTTTTCTTCTTTTAAGGAAAGGAGGTTATACTGATTATTTTCATTTTTCAAAAAAAATAATAATAACAAAATAATTAGTGTGGTTCAACCTCTTTTACTAGATGAAGGAATCAAAGTTGGAAAAGCAGTGACTTGCCCCATATCATAGAGCCTACTAAATGGCAGAATTGGGACTAGAACTGATAGCCTTTTACTTCTCACCCTGGCATTATACTATGTGTGCCATTATTTAGTTCATAGAAACTTAATTCCCTTCTGGTGCCATCTTCCTCCAAAAAAGTTATATATCGATGTTGAGGACATAGAGAATTCCTGAGCCATATTGTTGGCAAAGGTTCTATCTTTATTATGTCTAGCATAAATGGAAACAGTGGAGAGCAGATTGCATTCTTTGACGTATATGTCTTTCTAGTGGCAACTTGCAAACTTACCTGCTCACAAAAGGGTAATTTTCTGGCCTGCCTTTCTTTCCTGCTTCCCTTTCAGATCATCTGTGGACACACCTGGAGAAGCCAGGGTTTTTTAGGGGCCTGTCCTAATTCGGGCTGCCACAACAAACTGCCATAGACTGGCTAGCTTAAACAACAAACCTTTCTTTCTTCCCTTCCTTTCTTTATTTTTGATCTTATTTTTTATTTCAATGTATTACGGGGGTACAAACGTTTAGGTTTCATATATTGCCTTTGCCCCATACCTGAGTCCGAGCTTCAAGCATGTCCATCCCAACAAACCTTTATTTGTCATAGTTTTGGAGGCCGGGAAATGCAAGATCAAGGTGCCAGCAGCGAGCGAGTCTTAGTGAGGGCTCCACCCCGCTTTTGTCCTTCCATACAGAAGATGAATTACGGCAGGCAACTGTTCCCTTATCTTCTTGTATAGAGGGCACTAACCCATCCTACGAGGGCCGCCCACTATTGTACCACCATCCCATCACGGACAGGAGTTGATGGGCCAGCATGCTTAATCTGGGGGCATGAAATGTCGACACAATACCAGGGCCAGTCCCAGGTTGTCATGCGGATGCTGGTGAACCGTGTCTCATCTCGGTTAGCCAGTGGAGCTAGACCACAACCAGCGCTTGTCGGACCCGCAGCACAAGTCCGACACCTCGGCACCCGCTCAGCGGGGCAGGAGCCCGGTAACGGCGACAAATGCGAAAGCATCTCCTCTCCTTCCGAGTCTCCTCGGCTGCAATTCAAGGGAACGAGGACCTCAGGCGACTGGGAGTTCCAGAGGCGACAGCCAGTCCAGGCACCTTCAGCGAGGCCGGTCACAGACCCCCAACAGACAGGTGAGCATGGAGAGGAGGCCAGCCCTGCAGGGCAGACTTAAGCACCCACAGAGACCCAAGTTTCCCAGGACACTCTACCCACTGAGCAGAGAGTTAAGCGCTCAGTACTCGTGCACATGTGAAGAGCTCTGAATTCACAGAAGCCCAGATTTTCCTCTAAGAACAATGATGGTATCTAAAGGTCATTCCATTCCAGCCTTCAAGACAAGAGTACAAATAAATCCAGGTGCTCCAGCAGAGTGAGGACAGATGGTCCTTTACCAGAAAAGTTTTTGTTAGCTGGGAATGCGTTCATCCCCAGCCCAGATTCATAATAGCATTCGACCTAATTTCTATGCAACCTTTGGCCATTCCAAGAGGAAGACCATGTCTCTCCTTCTGCTTTGCTGAAACACCAGCCGGTGCCAGAAATAACACCGGAGACTGCAATGAAAACATTCTCCCTTGGACACTGTTCACCATCCAACCTCTCCGCCACGCAAGAGCTCTTGAACCCAGATGGAGACTGCTCAACAGGACAAGGCGTGCTGCACAGCCAGAACTGTGTAGAGACATGCAGTAGGAAGTGATCGTCTCTACCACAGGTGTTTTCAAATTCATAGAGACAGAATCCCTATGGACTAGGGCGGAGGTCAAAGGAGGCCTGAACTGGGCAGAATGATGTGTGGGTGTAGGTCGAAGCTAGTCGCGAGCCCTGAAGCCAGAGAAGAATGCAATGCCCGTTAAGAACACACTGTCCAAACAAGTTCCCAGTCAGGAGCATTTATGTCACCTTCACGGACTTCTTTTTAAATTTATTTTAAAATTCAGAATATACTGGGGATACAAACAGTTAGTCAGTTACAATGACTATTGCCTTGCACTCCCCAAACCAGAGCAGAAGCATGCCCATCCCCCCAGACACTCCACACCATGAGTGGATTACCATCCCCTCCCCTGCCCCATCACGCTGGAAATGATTACTTCCATGTGTGCATGTAATTGACGTGTGTAGTACAGATTTGCTGTCATACAGAGGCCTTTTTTCCATTCTTCAATACTCCACTTTGAAGAGGCTCTAGCCTTCTGCCAATACGATACATGAGTATTAATTCACACATCGTTTAGTACTCCGACTGGTAAGTACATCAGCCAGTGGAATGCTTTTTATCAAACAACAAAATGCTTCTTTTTTTGAGACAGAGTCTCGCTTGTTGCCAGCTAGAGTGAGTGCCGGGCGTCATAGCATCACAGCAACCTCAAACCTGGCTCGATGACCATTCGCCCAGCCTCCCGGTAAGCTGGACTACAGGCATCGCGCCACCATGCCCGGCTAATTTTTTAATAATCAACAGTTGGCCAATTAATCTTTCATTTATAGTAGAGACGGGTCTCCTCTTGCTCAGGCTGGCTGTGACTCTGAACCTTGACCAACGCCCCCTCGGCCGTCCCAACGAGCAGGATACAGGCTGAGCCACGAGCCCGCAAATGTCTTAAGTTCTGAGAGCCCTGGAATCTGGGCTTGTTCCATGCACGTACAGCACTAGCATCACCTGAGGGCTTGTTACTAAGGCAGGATCTCAGGCTGTACCCCAGATCCACGGAGCCTGCATTTACCGTGCAACTGGACCCCCAGAGGTTTGCGTGCACATTAAAAGTTGAGATGTCCCGGTCTAGATACTCTTGACCCCTCAACCTCTTCAATTCCTATGTGGCTCACTGGATGCGAATAGTGCAGGGGGTGCCACCGATGGCTCTCTGTAGGAAAGGTCAGGGACCTTGCCAGAGTCCCAAGTGGAGATCGAGCAAGCCCAGTCTAACGCGCCATGTCTCTCCTGCACAGGGCACGGGGTCCCTGAGCGAGAGCTCCATCCCCTCCATCTCTGACACCAGCACCCCAAGACGAAGTCGGCGGCAGCTCCCACCCGTCCCACCAAAGCCTCGGCCACTCCTTTCCTATAGCTCCCTGATACGACACGCTGGCAGCATCTCTCCACCTGCCGATGGAAGCGAGGGGGGCTCCCCGCTCACCTCCCAAGCCCTGGAGAGCAACAGCGCTTGCCTGACCGAGTCTTCCAACTCCCCCCACCCCCAGCAGGGCCAGCACCCCTCCCCCCAGCGCTACATCTCCGAGCCCTACCTGGCCCTGCACGAAGACTCCCACGCCTCGGACTGTGGCGAGGAGGAGACGCTCACCTTCGAAGCAGCTGTGGCCACGAGCTTGGGCCGTGCCAACACCATCGGCTCGGCCCCGCCCCTGCGGCACAGCTGGCAGATGCCCAACGGGCACTACCGGCGGCGGAGGCGCGGGGGGCCTGGGCCAGGCATGATGTGTGGGGCTGTCAGCGACCTTCTGAGCGACACGGAAGAAGACGACAAGTGCTAGAGGCTGCTCCCCCCTCCGATGCATGCTCTTCTCTCACATGGAGAAAACCAAGACCGAATTGGGAAGCCAGCGCGGCCCGGGGGGGAGGAAGAGGGGAAGGGACGATGGAAGGACACCATGCATCATCAGAGAAGAGGAAGGCAAGGACAATCGGAAAACCAGTCACACCACCAAATTGCTTCATTCCCCTTTGCAAGATGGGCACTGCCATAGTTCTGCCTCTTTGCTGGGGAAAGAAAACACAGGACCGCGGAGGGTTATTCCCAAGGGAGAAGGGACACTCGGACGGCTTTGCTACCCCTTGCCCCTCCCCACTTTTCTAAAAGCCGTGGAGGGAGCTAGCCAGCCTGTGTCCACACTCAGTGCCCTGAGAAGCCTGGAAGACTTCCTGGCTCTTAACTGGGGAGCGGTGGAGACCACAGGCGCGGACTTTCCTCTCTCCGCCAGCACCACTGCCACCAGGGCAACTGCGGCAGCGTGCGTTTCCTATGGCCTCCCCCAGGGAGGCACAGGCTATGCCAGGAGCATCGGGTGCGAGGGGGGGAGCGGCTGGAGAGGAAGCGGGCAGGGCGCTGTGGCCACAGCAGCAAGGGCTGGTCTGGGTGAGAAAAGCCATAGCCCAGCAGCCCCCACCAGGAGGGACAGGATCCAAGCGACAGCAGCGGTGGTGCTGGGGGTGGGGGGACGGGCCCCCTCCCTTGAGTCCTGTGGCCTGCCCGGTAGGTGCTGTGTCAGTGAGGATAGGTGAGGAGGTCCTGGTAAGGGTGAGATTAAAAACACGTAACAGCCCGTGTGGCCAGGGCAGCAACCCAGTGGAGCTGAGCCACCGTGCTGTTCCAGGGGATGCTGGGCATGGGGGAAGCCTGAGGGTGGGGGCTGGGGGCACTGAAGGGACTCAAGGGAGAGTCTGTTTTGCAACCACTATAGAAGCGATTCAGCTTGTGTGCCAGTGCTACGGCTGTACCAGCACGTCCGGCTGAAAGCAGCCACGCTCTGGCCTGGGAGGCGGTGGCCTCTCTGCCAAGCCCGGCGAGGGCAGAACACACATGCGGGCCACCTGTCACTGGGCAGGGACTTCTGTAAGGATGGGAAAGGCGGGTAGGTAGAAATGAGAGGAGCTTCAGTGAAAGAGGCTGAACTACTGGGGCCCTCCTGTGAGGAGGGTCTGCTGGGCCCACGGCTGATCTGGGGTTGAGGGTCAGTTTGTCAGGATGCTTTAAGGTGATTAGTAAATATACCTCAGCTGTGACCTGGGCTGCTCCTTCTGGCAAAGCAGGCTCCGATGGGGCCCAAGTCACCCTGAATATTTCTCTGGACCAGGCTTCACCCCTCCCCAGAGGAAGATGATGGCCTCAGGCCACTGTGTCACTCCTAACCGTCCCAATGCAGAAGCATCGAGAAAGAGCCCCTGCTCCTTTGGTCCTAGTTCCATTTGGGGAACACATGACTGGCTTTATCTGGTGGAAATGCACCATCATCTTAAGTCCCTCCCCAGAACCATCACAGCAGGGGGACAGGTGCCCTGGAGAGGCTGCCAGGCAGAGCCCCCCCCAACTTTCCTAGGCAGGAGCAGGTGGAACCGACATCCAGAGGCCTCCACAGGGAGACTCTGAGGCCCCTGCCCTGAGGCCTCAGTGGGTACACACACTTTCTCTCCTCCGCCAGCCCAGATAGGCTCCCCCATGTGGGTAGGAGCAGCCTGCGGCTGTTATTTTTCTTAGAAGGAGCCTTTTTTTTTTTTCTTATGGCATTGTTTCCTTTTTCTTCTTTTTTGATTGAAATGGAAATAAGGCCTAGCTGCTTTAGCCCCCACAGAAGCAAATTCAGACATGCAGCTGGAGACTCCTTTGTCATGGCCCTGTCTTCTCTTCTGGGTAGTGATGGAGTTTCATGACCCATGGTCAGCCCCCAAACCAAAGTAGCTCCAAGACAGGAGGCCAAGGTGGCAGAGACAGAGCTCTCAGATCCTCTCTTCCATCTTTATTTTCCTCTCACTTAGCACACGTGTGCTGGCAGGTAGCTGGGAATGTGACTATGTAACACCCCGATCCCAACAGGCATGATCGTTACATAAAACTGATGCTGGGCCTTGTACTGTTTGTAAGGTTTCCTCTGCTCAGCATCATTTCATGCCACAGTGCTGCTCTGGGCTGCTTTGTGTGCACACAATCGCTTTTTTCCACCTTGGAAATGCAGCTTTCCCTAGGGAAAGGCCGACGACAAGACAACCATTCTGAGCCAGCAAGTCTATTGCATGGTGTTTGGAGAAAGGGAATCGCAGGGAGACCCTAACCCATTCCACAGTAGGAGAAATGTAGGCTGACAGCAATGACCAGAAATGGAATCTGCCTGCAAACGGTAGTATGTGCAGTAAATTCACCGTGCCAGGAAACCTTCCTGGACCCCTGAAACCACACACACACGTATTTGAGTCCTGAATAAAGTGGTGTGAAGCACTGCAGATGGGGTCACCTGACCAACCACCTGGTTTTTCTAATACCAATGAACTTACAAACTTCTTTGATTCAGCTTCTCCTGACCAAGAAATTGGGTTTCTTTTCCCTTAAGCCTGCACTTACTCTTCTATTAAGATCAGAAAATAAAAAAGAATTTTCTGTTAAGTCATAAACTCATTATCATAAATCTTTGGTTTCCTACTGCCTCTGAATAAATGTGAATGCCATCCTTCCCCCTCATAGCTGAGCAGGACTTCCCTTCTGCCTCTGCTCTTTTCCCTTGAGAAGAGGCCCCTTTGGGTCTCAAACCCGTGCTTCTCTTTGGATTAAAGGTTACGGCAGCATCTTGAGGAATTCCATGCCAAAGAAGACGACAGCCCATGTTTGAGATCAAACTTGGGCATCAGAGGTCCCCACAGAAGAGTCTTTAGTCATATGTTCAGTTTCCCTTGCTAATACTAGTCTTCACCATCTCAGAGAAAGAGGGAGAGAGGAAAAGAAACCAAGGTGGGAGATGTTCTAGCTAGGTTTGTGTTTAGATACCCCGCTCCCTACTTAAGGCTCTGGACAGACTTCCGGTGGGCATGCACATCTCCGTCTCCTCTTCTGTTTCTCTGCATCTTTCCCTCTCTCCCCACATCCTGGACAGAGTGCCAGCAGGCCTTTGGACAGGGGGTAGGGTCAATATAGAATTACCTGCCCCCTGAAAGGGTGGTGCCCTCTAGCTCATCGCCACTCTTCTAAAGAATCTATTCTGGGCTTCACTTGTCCTCTGCCCTCAGCGTCCCCATAGGGTACTGAAATCACTGAGAACATTTCCCTGAAGCTCAGCTCCACGTGTACTGGATTTTGTCCTCTCCACTCTGGGGCCACTAGAAGATGAGCCCGTGTTCCAGCCCTCAGCCAGCATCTCCCTTCCTTACACACTGATCCACCCCATGGGGTGAGCCTGAGGGTCCTCTGCCCTCTATCTTTCCATCCCAGCCTTTGTTTTGCTGCCTGTTAGCACGGACCCAACCCCTGAGATGGTTAACTCCATCCAATCCAAGCTTGTTTGCTGGCCTGACGGCCCCTGCCGTGCTCAGCCACTGGGGAATGCCGCGTTCTCATGAGATACGGGTTGGAACTCACCTGGTGCTCTTCACGAGATGATCTGAAACAGGGTGTGAGGTGTGGGGACTGTTGGGTGGCTGGGATGTATGTGACATGTCCACATCCTGGATCAAAGCTCACTGCCATGAAATCGGGTTTCTCCTGCAATGATGGAACACAATTTTAAATAATTTTGATTTTTTTAAAAACAAAAATTCTCAATATTGCATTCTATTAAGGCTGCTCTGGATGTTTCATTTTTGGACAGTTTTTCCTTAGTGGGTGGAGGCAGGGACAAGTTGAAAGATCCATTCCTTTCTCAACTCAGTTATTATGTATAAAGATTATGAGATTATATGTAAAGAAAGGGCAAATGTGCAGCAGAAGGGGAGCAGATACCCTCTACCTTGCAGGGATGTTGTGAGACTCTGAGGTTAAGGAATTTGCACTGCTGGTTTTGTTAATCATTCATGCCTGTTGTGAAGGCCTGGGACGAGCGGGTGCCAGGAATCCTGGCGAGGAGAAGTGCTTCAGGGTGGATTCATTCCCACTAGTGCTCTCACTCACCTGCAGGTCCTTCCCTCCTGGATCCCAGAGCACTGAGCACCACCCAAGAGGTGCAGGAGAGGACTCCATGATGCAGGAAAGGAAGGAGTGGGACCCTTGCTAGTGGCCAGGCAGGGCATGATGGTTTGACTCCAGACGAGAGTCTCTAAGGAATCAGGTCTAGATTTGGATAATTTATCTTTAAAATATCTCCATATGGAGGCTCTTGTTTTAACAAAAGCCAAACAAAAGTAACTCAGGGGTTATCACCTAAACTTTGCATGAAATTAATCAAAGAGATCCCACATCAATACGCACTGCCTGTACCAGCAGCTTTGTTTCTTTGGTTTTTGTTTTTTTCTTGTCTGAACCATCCCATGCACCATAGCCAGGTCTACCGCAAACACGGCAGCAGCTGGCGTCTTCTCTGCTGGTCGTGCAGGGAAAGCCCAGCTACACACTGCTGGTGGCCTTTGTCAGCAGCAGCTCCCTAGTCAGAGCGCACAGACATACTGCTCGGGAGGACTAACAACAGAGCTATCTTTGTTTTTTGGTGGCCATCTTTTTCATTCCTTGAATCCTTCTTTCTGCTTTGCCTTTCTGAGGCTTGTGCATCCCAGAGAGATCCCACCAAGCCAAAGAGAAGAGCATCACAGATTGTCCCAACCTACCCAAAGGGCCTGAAAATTTTCTCGGAACAAAACTCAAGGCAGTTGCTTGACAAGTACAAAAGGGGCTCACGGCAAAGTCTAATCGATGGTTGGAAAGGCTGGTGTGTCCCCAAACTGCCCTTCTGTTTTTGTAGCCTTGTTTCCTTCTGCCCGCCTTCACTCCCCATGCTATAAGGAAAGGCGTTAGTTTGAATCTTGACCTTCTAAATGTGAAAAGAGATTTTATAATAAGCCATGTCACTATGTAAATACCTTTTGAGGTTTGAATTCTTATTTCTGGAGGTATGAATGAGTTGAGTAGATCAGATAGAAAGGTGTAGGGATTTATGTTTATTTTTGTTTGGCTAGTGTCTGGGTTTTTTGTAACAGACCTGTTCTAGAATAGCAAATAAGGATAAATTTGTGCTCTGCAATTTTTCTGAATCTGTTTCTTTAGGAATGAATTTCCATCAAATTTAATAAGATATTTGAGTAAAAAATCAGAGGTTACAGTACCAGCTCCTTTTCTCTCTCGTCTCCTTTTTGTCTTCTTTCTCCTTCTGTCTCTAAGTTGGTCTCTGCCTCTGTCTCTCTGTCTCTTCTCTTTTTAACGACTTAAAATATGATCTAGATTAATAAAAAAAACTGCCTGAAAACTTC